AAAACATTAACGCTGTACTTAAACTGCCGTTAAACGGTAGCCTACTGAAATGCCGTTAATAGACAGCACTTGACGGCTTTTTAATGCTTTGGTTAAAATGCCGTCGAACGGTCGCGTACTAAAATGCCGTTAATCAATTTGTGTTCCGTTTTCCGTTGCCCTTTTGGTATGTTTTTTTCGTCGCGTTTGCACTATTATTGTAGTAACAATTTGTGCTAAGTGCTATAAGTTGATTTTAATTAAGGTGTACATCTGGATATTATCGGTTCAGGATTGAGTAAGTGTTTCAGTTAGTTTTCTGATTAATAATCTATTAATCAGTTAATTTATCTATAAATATTTTTAGGTTAGTTAGGTACCTAATTATTTTTCATGACTGAAATAAGCATGCTGAAAATTGGAGATAGGTTCAGCTCATTCGCTGACGCAAAGAAAGCGATTGAGGATCTTGGTGAAAATACGTACACAACATTTTGGAAACGAGATGCCCGTACAATTGCAAGCAGTAAAATTGTGAGACCAATAGAAAGCTCTTTGATTTATTATCAACTTCTATATGCAAGTAATCCTGGTGGAAAGAAGTTTAAGGGCAGTGGGAAAAAAATTCGACAGTCTTGGACATTTAAAGAAGATTGCCCAGTACATGTAAGATTCAAAGCATCGTCTGATGGAAAAGCACTCGAGGTAACATCGGTTCAAATGAAGCACAATCATGTCACTTCGAAGGTAAGTTTACAGATTAGTTGACATATAGTATGCTTTTAGAATTCTTGCTTGAACAGTATTTTATTCATAAAAGATATATTTTGTAGGTTCTACATGCACATAACCCTAGCCAAAGAAAACTTTCCAGTAACATGAAGGAAAGCGTCAAGTATTATTTGAATATGAAGGCCAATAGAAAAATGATACAGCAAAAAAGTACTGGTAAAATTGTTACTTTACAAGATTTAACAAATATGAAGATATCCGATCAATCAAGAAAAGAAAACTTAGATGGCTGCTTAAATATACTTAAAGCTAAATACGGTAAACTAAAATATTCTGTTATCGTCTTATTAGTCCCAATAACTACCCTGTTTTCAGGTGCCAATATTTCAGCCACAATAATTTCAGAGGACTTTTCATTCATCCAACCATGAAAAGTCCAACCATGAAAAGTGCAATGAAAACTTTTCCAGAATTTCTTGCAGTAGATGCTACATAACGTATAAAACAATATTTTTTTCCATAGCGAGTTACGTTTTAAAAAATATTCAGAAATTATTATTTCAAGGAATTTATTACCAATAGAAAAAATATTGTGCTGGGTTGGCGTTGGTTTCTATGTAATTTGACAAATAAATAAAGCTGTCTCTTTAGTTGTCAGTTTTGAGTCAATATTTTTTAATTCTCTTTCGTGTCGATTGCTGATTATGAACAGAAATGGCTCAAAACGAAATAAGTAAATTACCAACAGATATTCAGGCTGAGGCGACAAACGTCATATCCAAACTACTTCCACTTACTATACTTATAACTTATGAAAAGGAATACAAAAATTTTCAAAAATGGAAGCAATTAAAAAATTAACCTATCCTCGCTGTTAAAGTATCATTTAATCTACCCTTGCGGTTAAAGTACTATTTTATCTACTATTTTTGATAGATATAAGGCAATTTTAACAGTTGCTATGAAAAAAAATATTTGTCAAGTATGTACACTAGTCGTCAGAGTCCGCCTTCAGACTCACACTGTATAACTCAATCATATTTAAATTATTTGTCTTAGTTCTTTTTTATTGAACTCTAAACTGCATACAAATTGCATCGAGACAAAAATAGAAGTAACTGTCAAAGTCAATATTGAATGTTTCCCAATTGTGAAATAGAAATGTAATAACCGTATCAAGGTCTACTACAATCTCATTTTTATTCAAAGTTGAGTCACTTTGAAACATTCCTAAATTTATTATAAATTGAAAGAATAAAGGTTATGAAATAGAACAAATACAAAAATTATGTTTACTAATTATGATTCAAAATCAAAATGGCAATTTGTACAGCCAACGTAAAAATTATAGAATTATAAAATTGTAATATAGTTTAAAATGAACATTTAAACACCGAACACTTTAGGACAAAGATCTACTTTACAGAGGAATGTTTATTCCTCTTTGGACTCACAATTTACTAGCCATAATTTATGACATCTTTTTAAACCAATATTCACTCTCTCCACTACGACCGTAGTGGCCTATTGATTAAAATGAGATTTAACCATCCCCATGAGAAGATTCAATAATTGTCTGCTAACTAATGATGATTAAAACTGGTATTTATCAAATGTTGAAGATACCCAAAGTTGTTAATGAAACCTACGTTTATATTTTATAATAGTCTATTTTTTACTCCGAATAGAACATGCAATTTCTTTTTCGAACGTTGCAAATATAAAAAGATCTAAAAGTAATACCGTATGATCGAAAAAAACGGTGTCCAGTTGGCTTGGAAATGACGATCGATGACATATCCTATATAATTTTGCATATAAAATGACAGCGATTTTCATTTCATAGCCATTGCTGATGCCGTTTCAATTCGATCATAGGATACCTTGTAAGTAATTATACAGGGTGGTCCGAACTGTATTTCGGAAACTTCGGCAGCATATTCTGCAGATAAAAATAAGCAAAAAAGTTCGTATAAGTGTATGTCTTAAAATGCTTAGTTTCGGAGATATGGAGTGTAGAGTTTTCATTTTTATTTTGATATTTTCCAAATAATTTCTGAAGTAACGTCAATATTGGTATGAAATTTGGTGGCTGGGAGTTTTTTGATATGAGAAATTTGATTTTGATGTCAATATGACTCTTACTTGTAGAGGACGCCACTTACATGTGTTTTAACTGCCTTTAAGAGTAATAACTTTTTGTCAGTACCTGTATAACACTACTTAGTGAAAAAATATACATTTTCGATATTTTTTACGTAAAAACTGTCTTTTGGTAAAAATCGCTACGAGAAACCGTTCTCAAGATATTTAGAATGGAAATAGTCAATACATGTCATTATTGACAAAAAATAAACAACTTGAGCAGATAGTTATTTGACTGAAATAATAATTTTGGGAAATGTTTATTTTTTAAATTAATCATAATTTTTTTTTCCAAAAAAATGATTTCATAATGAATCATAATTTTTTTTCCAAAAAAATTATGATAAAACGGTTTCTGTCGAACTTTTGACACAAAAACATTTCAAATTTATGATTTCGGTCTAATAACTATTTAGTCAACATATTTAAATAATGTCAATGACGATAGGTATTGATAATTTAGATTCTAAATATCTCGAGAACCATTACTCCTAGCAATTTTTACCAACGGACCTTTTTTAAGTAAAATATGTCGTGAATGTATATTTTTTTACTCAGTAGTTTTATACAGATACAGACGAAAAGTTATTACTCTTCAAATCAGTTAAAATAAAGTAGGTGGAGCCCTCTACAAGTAGGAGCCATATTGACATCAAAACCAAATTTCTGATGTCAAAAAACTCCCAGACAACAATTTTCATCCAAATATTGACGATACTTAGAGAAATTATTTGGAAAAAATCGAAATAAAAATGAAATTTCTACGCCCTGTATCTCCCGAACTAAACATTTTAGGACATACATTTATAAGAACTTTTTAACTTATATCGACAAAATATCAAGATAAAAATGGCCTACGCAATTTTGCTAACAAGAGAAATATATAATAGAATATGCTGGCGAAGTTTCCGGAATACAGTTCGGACGACCCTGTATATCAAAAAAATATGGTTACACTAATTGAATTTGACACTTTTTGTCAGTTTAAAAAAAATATATATTTTTTTCAAACGTCACAAAAGTATTAATCTCGGTATTAATATTTACGACGTGATTGAAAATATAAAAAAGTCATTTTAACACTTAGGGATACAAGTAAATGCGTTAAAATAAAAATATTTTTTTTATAGGGTGTTTCAAAAAGTATATGCCATCCCTCGCGAGGAGACTCCTCATGTAAAAATAAGTGCAGGGACGTACATATGGGTTATCACTTGCCGATCAGTATATCAATGCCGATTAAGTTGTATTTTGATATTTTGTCCATTTCGGACTCCTTGATAAGATAAACGCAATTTTCAAGGATATCAAAATCGACAAAATATCAAGATACAAATGGCCTACGCAATTTTGCTAACAAAAGAGAAAAGTGGCTCACATGTTTTTATTAGAAAAATATTCCAGTCAAAACCCATATGCACGTCCCTGGCGAATATGTCGACATTGTTTTAGCATTAAAATATGTTGCACTTATAGTAACTTTTACCACCAAAATTTCATTTGAATCGCTAAAAGTGTTAATTTGGAAGAAAAATATAATAAATCGAAAAAAATGTAACCCCCTGTAGCTATGAAACGAAGCACAATCGGATCTCTGCTAATATGAAAAATAAATTTTATTTTTATATGAGAAATCTCTCCAAATTGTCCTCTAAAATCCTCGTTTAAAATAACTTCGCTATTTTGGAATTTCGGAGAGAAAACAGTAGAGAAAAAGAGAAACGGTGTTTCTTTTTTCGAGATCTACAAGCTCTAAAAATATGTGCACTTTTTTAAGGCTCACCCTGTAAAAATGAATGAAGTTGATTTTAATTATTTAGGGAATAGGAAGAATAATAAGTAGGAAAGAGTGCTGCTTAGGGTGAATAATAATTAATATAGACACTTCAATTTTTCAAAGCTACTGTTTCATTGTAAAATGAAAAAGTGGTTCTTTTGATATCATAAAGGCGGGTTATCTGATTTATTGATCTATTTTCTATGGAATAAATTAAGCACTAAATGTCAGAGTTTGCAAATCTAAGGTTTGTCCATAAGTGCACAAACTATTTGAAGGCTATTAACTCGATTACATAAATGTATAACAATACAACGCACATTCTTAAAAAAACAACATTGGAAATAAATAAATGAAAACTTTTTACCATACTGCGGTGCTGAGAGTACGACTCCACCGTAGCCTGGACCGGAGGGCAGGGCTACCACGGCCGCGGCAAAAGAGCAAACTAAAAGAACGACCTGAAAAACCGTACAAAACCAACAAAAATAATTAGGATGAAAATCGAGCAAAAAGGATCGAGATTGGCTTACCCAACTATGCATTTTGTAATCGTAAACGCACCACGGAGGTTTATAAAGTGAACGATATGCAATTCGATTGAAAGCCCCAGTTTTAGCACACAGAAAAGTCTTATTTTCCTGTGGTTGACCTTCTTGTTGAATTTTACTTTTATGTGGAATATAAAACAGCCAGTGCAATTTGCAATTGAATATTGTTAGATTGGCCTGTTTCGTAAGATTATGAAAAAAAATTATTATCCCATTATACTTAACGCTGATAAAGTTACGAATAATTATTCTGCTAAACAGATACAGTTAATAATAGACAGTAAAAATATTTAAAAAAAAACTGTGTGATTTAAAATTGAGGTATTATTGGCTATAATCAGTGAAGAGTGAGAATGGTCTTGGTTTGGTTTAGTTTGCATTTTTTGCAAGATCAAGACTAAGACCGACAGTGCAAGACTCTTGCGGTCTTGCGATTTACTATTTTTTTATAAAGTATCTATTTGTCTCAAAATGTTAATAATAAAAAGGTTTTTCGTCTTGTAAAGACAATTCGGGACATACTGTACTGGGTACGTCTCAAAAGTGGCTCACCCCTATAACTTTTTATTTTTTCAGATAAAACAACGAGACTTGTTATGCTACTTTGAATAAGAAGACTAAGGAAGGAGCATATCAAAAATCTTAGGTACACCGTGATGGGCCTCAAATATGGCCGACTTAAATTCCGGTTTATCAGTGTCGTTCTAATTTTATTTAAAAAATGTAAAACTATGATGTAGGGTAGACGTGGGGTAGACTCAATAATTTGTTGTTTTATTTGTTGTGAATAAATGTTGGTAGATATTAAAATTGTTATAAAAATATATAATTCTAATAAAAATAGATAAGTTATAATAACTATTTATTAACACAAACATCCGATACGCTACTGAAGCAGGTAAGTCAAATTAACGTATCTAAATTCTTTGACATCTAATCTTTGACAAGTAATAAATAAAAGCTAAAATGCAAGAAAAATATATAATTTAGTTAATTTAAGTGAATTTCATAAATGATCGGTTTACTACACGTATGTATATTATATAGTCACTTACTAGCGAAAAGTTGTTCCATTATTTCACTCAATTTTTGCCGAGATCTACCGCACGCTACACAACCGACTATTTTAGAGTCTTTTTCGATAAATCGCGATAGTGTCACTGTTAATTTAAGTTCTGCCACAATTTCCATCTAGATTTACTACCTTTATACAACTATCAGTAGTAGAATAAATAATAAATAACATAAAATAAGCTCCGTAAAGACTGACAAATCCACAAAATTTCAAATCAAATTCAAATGTGTCAAACGAATCGTCAAACAGAACTGTCAAGGATCCCCACCCTAGAGTGCTTTTTCCGCCCACCATGCATGAATACATGGATAGCATTATGCTCCTCCCTTAGTCTTCTTATTCAAAGGTATGCTAGCTAGTATATGACATACATTAGGATTGATTGACATACTCAATTGTTTTCGGTCACTTCCGGTTTTAGCGGAAATCACTACAGCTTTTGATTTTTAAATGGCATCCTCGGTGTTTTTTTACTTTTTTCGATAGAAAATGACACCCTGAAATGAATGACATATCATATTATATCAACTTTTGACATTTTCACATATGGTTTATTTGAAATTGTAGCATGCGGTTCATAACGACAATTTGACTCGAAATACCAAGTATGTGGTATCAAGTTAAAAAAATTTCTCATTTTTCTTAGTTTTAAAAGCTTTTTCCAAATATGCTAAAGAGCCCCCACAGTGTCATATCATGGATCACTGAGCGATCCCTTCCTAACAAACACAGGCGTTAGGCAGGGATGCGTCTTAGCGCCTCTCCTATTCAATATATTCATGGCAGAGCATCTCTGCTCCATTATAGTGGACAGCAAACTGCAGGAGAGAGGTTTAGGCATTATATACAGATACGACGGCCGTCTATTCAACATAAAAAAACTCAGGGCAAAAACACAAAATTCATACAATTGTATTAGTAATATTCATCATCGTACAGTAATTGCAAGAAATGTTGAACAATTATACATGGGCATCTGAGGCTTTGGGCCTTAAGTTACCTCGGCAGTTTGATTTCGGAAAAGGCCAATATCGACCTCTGAAATTCAGCACAGGATTAGCAGCGCCTCAAGAGCATTCTAGAAATTAAAAGGCAGGGTTTTCTACAATCATGACGAGCACAAGAACGAAACTTGCAGTGTACCGAGCAATAATAATTCCCACCATGTTCTATAGAAGCGAAACCTGGGTGCCATACCGTCGACACATGAACGCATTAAACAAGTTGCGACAGAGACATCTTAGACAACTCTTAAGAATCAAATGGTTCCATCATGTCTCAAATGTACCGGTCCTTGAAAAAGCTAACTGCGAGAGTATTGAAGTCATGATTACAAAGTCCTGTATCGTATGTAGAATGATTACAAAGGCTGGACACGTATGTATAATGCAAGAAAACCGCATACTAAAATCTCTGCTTTACGGTGAGCTTGTAGGCGGTAAGAGGAGGTGGGGTAGAAAACTTAAAAGGTACAAGGATATTTTCGAGGATATTTTCCACGAAAACTTAAAGGGAATTATTAACAAGCAGAATGGGTAGGAAGACGCAGCTCACAATAGAACGGAATGGAGAAGAATTGTAAACTCAGTTAACAGCGACAACCAAAAAGTAAAGAGGCAACAAAGCAATGAGATTTTTGAATGTCCGGAGTGCGGTATAGTCTGTCCAACGAGAAGATCCTTGACAGTGATAGATGTGTCTGTCATTTTAATTTCAAAGTAGTTTATTTTATTTTACAAAGAAATAAGTTGGTATAACTGGAACGCATAGCAGGATATATTTAAAATTTGATTGACAAGATGACAAGTGATTACTTCAAAATATTGTGAAAAAAACTGTATAAAACTGAAAAATGTAATCGAGTTATTTTATTTAATAAAAACGGTATGTGTTAATACAAAACAAACAAGAACAAGACACTACATACCAAAAAAAATATAAAAAGAACTATTATTTACTTTAAAGCTTTATGAAACTACCCGCATTTATGATTATATTTATCAATATAACTTATGTACAAATACAAATTTGTAATATTCCACAGGAATAAATAAAACAACATAGGTAAATAAAACAAACTATTTTATTAATAATAACACCTACCAAATTTTATACCTTAAAGGTTGATTAATTAACTTTAATCTTAATTTTTTTTAACCCGTACCTTTTGACATTATTTTTCTGCAGTACTAAAATCCATTATTTACCTATTGTGTGATGTCGATATTTTACAGCTACTCCAGTTTTTAGTATGTGTTTAGTTTGATCCTTCTACCATATACGAGATGCACTTATCTACGACGAAATGGTATACAAACTTTATCGATGGCAACTTCATTAGTGTATAAGACTTTCTGCCTGGGCAGCGAGTATTAACCATAAACTGTGCTCTGGGTCTACAGTTAATTTTCACTCGATTTTTCCTCCACTTGACTTCAAAAGACACAAAACACACGTAATAATACGAATCAAAATGCATAATCTTCCAAAACGCAGGGTATTTAACAAAAGTTGACACAAAATTATAACCTATAATTTGGCAAGACTTTGACAAGCATCAAAAATGACAAAAATCTAAAGGCGAGTTCATACGCATCGGCGTCCGTTTGTCGTTCATCGTTCCGTCGAACCAATAAAATTGAAATACGATCTGTCATTTCTTAAATAAACCAATAAAACTGGTTAAAAACAACAAGACACGACGCATGATGGATTTATATTTAAACCCATCCATAGATAACTTAAAAATTATTAGAAACTTTTTTTAGTAAAATAAATAGATGGGTATGGGACGTCATCTGCTTTTCTTCTGTCATCGTCTGTCAAAATCTTACCTGAGAAAAAAAACAGAGTATAGACAGATAACATCACGTATCGGGCTTTTCAGTCACAGAAAAGCTCATGAAAGAAAACGCCTTGCGTGACCATCTTCTGATGCGTGTCAAATACTCGTCAGCGAGTAATGGCAGTATGCATGTATGTATGTAATGAGCCACCCTCGTTGAAAAATTTGAGGGTAAAAAATAAATTGAGATACTTATGATTAAAAATACGATTTGGGCATCTTTTAACCGGCAAGGACAAGACACTAAAAACATTAGACGATCAAATCTATTTTCCCAAGGCTCCTTGATTAGAAATTAGTATTTTTAACACATCAGCCGTGGCAGTCTAGATTGATATTGAAAATACAATTTGTTTTTAGCGAATATGTCAAAAGTTGACATATGATATGTCATTCGATTCAGAGTGTCATTTTCTCAAATGAAGTAAAAAAAATACCGAGGGTGCCACGAAAGAAGAAGTGACCAAAAATCTATATGTACTAATATAAAGGGTGGTCCGAATTGTATTCCGGAAACTTTGGCAGCATATTCTGGAGATAAAAATAAAAAATACGTCCTAAAATGCTTAGTTTCGGAGACACATGGTGTAGAAATTTCATTTATTATTTCGATTTTTTCCAAATAATTTCTGAAGTAACGTCAATATTTAGATGAAAATTGGTGTCTGGGAGTTTTTTGACATGAGAAATTTTATTTTGATGCCAATATGACTCCTACTGGTAGAGGGCGCCACCTACATGTGTTTTAATTGTTTTGAACCGTAATAACTTTTTGTCCGTACCTGTATAAAACTACCGAGTGAAAAAATATACATCTCTGTGATTTTTTACGTAAAAAATATCTCTTTGTAAAAATCGCTACGAGCAACTGTTCTCAAGATATTTAGAATGGAAATAGTCAATACATGCCATTATTGACGAAAATTAAACACGTTGAGTAGGTAGTTATTTCACTGAAATAATAAATTTGGAAAATTTTTATTTTTTTAAATTAATCAAAATTTTTCTGCAAAAAATGACGATAAAACAGTTTCTGTTGAACTTTTGGTACAAAATATTTCAAACTTGTGATCTCAGTCTAATAACTATTTAGTCAACATGTTTAATTTATGTGAGTGATGACAGGTATTAATTATTTCGATTCCAAATATCTCGAAAACCATTACTCGTAGCGATTTTTTCCAAGAGACTTTTTTTACGACAAA